AAATATCAAACCAGATGAGCAAAAGAGGACAGATCCTGGGCAAAGTGTGTCTTTACATTTTACGTGCACCTTATTATAATAGCTACCATTTTATTATTTTGCGCCCAGAGATCTCATGATACAGGTGTAGAGTCAGGAGTCACATCCTTGTGTTTCATTGTATCACTCAGGCGACAATGGGCTGGTTTGTGTGCAGAGTGTGTTTAAGTAGTGTGTTTGCGCACATGTGAGAAATTCCACATGTTTGTCTCGGCAGTCCTTTAAACATAGCTTTCCGTGGCGTGACCGGATGCAGCATGGTGGAGTCGCGTGCCTGTGTTCATGCAGTTCATGGTCCAGCGATGCGTGTCACATGTGTGAAGAGTTTTTCCAAACCGTGGATCCGGGTCATTCCGTCGAATCTAAGGGAGTGTTTGTTTACACATCAAACAGAGGGAGAAAGAGTCGAGTCAGAGGAAACGTGTGTGAAAGAGAGGCAGTCGGTGGGATCTTAATGCTTTGATAAAGTCTCTGGATGCAGATAGACGGGAGACAATGGGACCAGACAGAGGGGAGAGAGAAAAGAGAAAGAATGAGAGAGAGGGGGGGAACATTCCTGAGTGTGTGGTCCTGTCCAGTCCTGTTATTTCTCTTGCTTGCAGGGACAGCTGTGTCATTTTCAAACCACACGGAACCCTCTGTCCAGTCTGCTATGTGTCAGGTCCAGTCCCAGCGGCCCCTTCACCGCATACCTCATCCTCAAACTGTGTCCACTTCTTTCTTTCTATTGTCTTTTTTAAAAGTAACATGAACCCTTAATGTAGTAAGATTTGAGTTGTTACTATAGCTAAAATAATCCCAAATGCTAGCGTCTACATTTTCCTATATTCTGTTGTGGAAAATGAACACTTGATGGAAATAATTCATCCAATACAATCCAGTACAGGTCATAAAGACGCCTGTGATCCTATCTTAAAATCTAAATAACCAACAGCTTGCATATATCAAAGCAGTTTTCTGAACCCTAAGGCAAAGTACACATACTGATGTGATAAATCTTAATGCTTCAAACGATATAAAGCTCAAATAATTGATATGATTCCACTGAGAACAGATAAATAATGTCGTATCAGGGCCTAGCCTCATTAGAAACGTGTTTTTCACATTACATGCCATTATGTAAACCAAATATTTATAGCCATAGGAAAAACGTGTTTTGCATGTTCCTGATCATGCTGATAAACTTTGGATAAAGTCACAACAACAGCTCCTCAGTCCTGATGTGTTGTGTCTCTACGGCATACACACACCTCACCTGTCATCTGGGACCCCTCCCACCTAACCCTGAGGGCTGTACAGTCAGAAAAGTCTAAGTGGTCTGTTTGCCTGTCTTTCTGTCTTTCGGCCTGTCTGTCTCTTTATGTGGAAAGATTCAGAGATGTGGGATTATTTGATCTATCTGCAGTGGGAGGACCAGTAGTCGCCCCTCGGACACAGGAAATCCCCTTACTTCTGCTTCACAGCCCTGTTGTGGCTGCACGTCTGTGTGTATATTTCTGCGGCGCAGATCCTGTGTGCCTGTGCCAGCGTTGGACGGGTTTTTCAGGAGGGGGGGTTACAGTACTGCCGGGCCAACCAACCCACCGACCGACCGCAGTCCCAAGAGACGTGCACAAGACACCGACCGACCGCAGTCCCAAGATACGTGCACAAGAAAAAGCCTTTTTTCTCAGGACACTGCTATTGGCCGATCCACATGGAAACCCTTTTCTCCCCCCTCTATTGGTCCCCCTTGCCTCCCCCAACTTTGCTCTTCTCTTTGGAGGTTTGACCCCTGACCTTTGACCCATTTGGGAAAGCAGAAAGCTCCCTATAGGGACCCGGCAAGAGGCGAGGTTCATCTCTGGAATGTCTTGATTTGGGTCACTTTTCCTTCTCCACTACTGTCCTCTCTGACTACTTTACAAGCCTTTCACTCTCTTTGGTGAGGTGATAGAAGTGAGTCTCTGTTTGCTCAGAACGTTTTAACTGCCCAGCTGATTTAAAGGGTCAGTTCACCCAAAATCCAACTGCTTTTCCACCACTCATCACCAGAAACAAATCCCATTCAACCCTTTTGCATTATGGCGAAGGCAAACGTCCTAAAAGGGATCCCAATGGCTAGATACTGTAAGACGTTTTATTGGGTGAAGTGAGCCTGACAGTAAAAAGCCCTTCACCTCTTCCTCTCAATTCGATGGTCTTTAGCCGTCAGTTTGTGTTTGGCACCGCCAGCTAGTAGTTTCCGTCCACTCTGATTGGCTGTAAAGGGCTCGGCGGTGGTTAACTGGCGGGTTGCTTTGCCAAGCAAAAGGCTGTGGGCTGGGCCACACCGCTTAGCCTGATCTCTAATTAGCACTGGCTTGTCAGTCAGTCAGGGTGGATCTGTCTGGGAAATTGCAGTCTTGCACACACAGACTTACAAACCATCGCTGGGAATCACACAGGAGGGCAAAGTCGGGACGAGGATTGTCCTTCAGTCTGTCTGTGATCATGTGGCTTTGACTTGTGTTGCCGTTTGATTCCTGTTGGGCAGAAGTGGCTTATTTAGGGCTCGGGTGTGTTTGTGTGCTCTATTAGTGGCGTGGCTGCAGCAGTGAAGTGGTTAACAGTCCCGGGGGAGGCTCATGTTACCAACGGCAGGGCAACTCCTTCCCTCTTCTCACCCCCCCCAGTTTCTCTCTCTGTTAGTCCAGAGAGAGACTAACAGTGCCCGAGGGATGAACCATCAGTGCAGCCAGCGACAAAGGAGCTCAATCTAGGAACCCTGCGAGAGAGAGAGAGAGAGAGAGAGAGAGAGAGAGAGAGAGAGAGAGAGAGAGAGAGAGAGAGAGAGAGATGGCTGTGTGAACTCTCAGCGGCATGAAGTCATGAAGCTCTCGGTACAGCTTGGCATTTTCCCGCAGTGCCCTGGTTCCCACGGCAACCCAGAGGCACTGACCAGGTAGATGTGTGTGTGTGTGTGGAGGGTGCAAGTGTCTCAACTTTTTACTTATACGTCTTCATTATTCTGTGTAGATCTGAGATTTTTGTTAGTTTGTATCCATGTCTGTTTCTGCATGGTTGTCCATATATCTTGTGTGTGTGTGTGGGGGACTTTCCCCATGTGGCTGTATGGATGAGCTGAGACGCTTGTGGTCACTCTAAATCTCTCAGCACCTCTCTCTGTCTGCTCCACGGATGCTTTCAACTCTGAAACTCTCCGCTCTGCTGCTCTTTGATTTATGCTGCCGGTATATCCAAAAGGAAGTCATGTTTCCCCCCCTGTTTTTCAGGTTGTTAGCAAGATTGTTCAAAACACAGCATGTACTTGGAGCAGCTGATTGAATTCATAGGTCATCTGAATCTTGGTTTTCAGCCATTTGCGATTCTTGTTTTTTGTTTAGTTCTTTTTCTGAAAGCTATAATTATGATGTTGTGTTTACGTGTTGGTGGGAAGCAAGCAGGGCTTCCAAGTTGGCTGCTCAAAAACACAGCTTTGACTTTATTTTTTTCCCATCTAAAAATGATACTTGACAAAATGATGAATGGCACTGTCATATGAAGCGCTGGGTAGTGAACTTCAGTGCTTTTTTTTGTATAAAGGGAAATCTTTCAGTTTTATAAAGAATAAACAACTGTTTGGTATCAAACCTGTTTTAAGGGAAATGTTCTAGTTTTATAGGCAGAGAGTCTTTGTTTGGCTGCCTTATTAAAACCTAATTTAGTAGAAAGACATGTTTACAACTAACTCAAACTAGGGTTGAAAAAAAGTATTGTTTGGTCATCTGGTTTTATTAAAATCAACAACTGTATCAAGGATAAAAGTAATATTTAACCGCAATCCTAGTTGGTGTGATACATGAGGGTGTGTGCATTTAGTTGTTTGTCATCGACGATTATTATTTCCCAGTTTTATTACAAAGACTTTATTGACAGTTGTTATGCATCATTAATGGACCCTCGGAGACTGTGAAAATACAGTCTGACAACACCAGCCGTGTGTGTGTGTGTGTGTGTGTGTGTGTGTGTGTGTGTGTGTGTGTGTGTGTGTGTGTGTGTGTGTGTGGTTCAGCCAACCCTGCATTGGCTATGGCCATCGGCCTCCCTCTGGTCCTTTCAGACTGATGTTTGCCAACTAGCCAAGCTTCCTGTCCCCCGCAGACTCCTGGTGGATGCACACACACACACACACACACACACACACACACACACACACACACACACACACACACACACACACACACATATTAACACATTTCCAGCATTAACTTCTAGCGTGTTTGCTCTGTTCAGATGGGTTTGTTTGAACAACTCAGACACACACACGCTCACACAGAGACGCACTGCTGTGATGTCACCCCTCCAACAAGCCTTTGTTCATATGATAGACAACCCCATTCAGCCTGTTGGTGTGTGTGCATGTTTGTACCCTAGCTGAAGTCAGTACAGATGGAGAATAAAGGAAAGGGAATCTCCAGGCAGTCTGAGAAGCCGGATCCATCTTTGACATTTATTTTAATTTCCATTTAACTCTGTATTCTTTTCTTTCCAAACAAAGGCATGCATTTAGGAAAAATTGAAATCATCACAATTTCTGACCTGTATAATAAAGTACTAAACTGTTTACATAATATTGTTTTCACATGTAGACTTATTCAGTTTCCATTTAAAGCCAAGATCACTGTGAAACAACCACACATTTACTGTACATTTAATAATGAAAAAAGGGATAAATTAAACAACTTTTTGATTAATCTGCAAACTCTTAAATCTGACTTCAGGTCATCTGGCTGTATAGTGTCGTGTTCATGGTATAACAAGCATCACACCACACTGCTGTGTCTCTGCTGACTGTCTGCTCAGTTATTTAATGTCTGTCTCTTCAAAGGGGAACAACACGTGTTTCTTTGCTTTCTGCAAAATTGCCCCCATGCGTTCCACTGTGAAAGATGTATTGTTTATGGAGTATAAAGTGAACCTCTTTCTCTCTGCGTGTCCAGCTGGGATGACAGCAGCTCTGTGAGCAGTGGCATCAGCGACAACATCGACACAGATGACATCAACACCAGCTCCTCCATCTCCTCCTACGCAAACACACCCGCTGCGAAACGCAAGGGCCTCAACACCAAGGTAAAACTTCACACGCACTCTCTCACACACAGCCATATTAAAGAAGAATATACAACTTATTTTTAATGATTGCACCACAGGCTGGGATAGCAAAATCATTCATTGATGAAATTTCATCAGATAAAAGTTGTTCATCTCTCCTGTCAGGACTGTTAGAGATATCAAGGGTAGAGTTTCCATGTAGATGGACAAAATGCATTATTCTCAGATGTATTCTGCTGGTTTACAGTCTTAGAATCGGTTCTGCACTTCTACATTAATGGGTTATTTCAGTACCTTTGAGAAATGCTCTGTTTATTAGCAACTCTTTGGACGTTTTTTTATAAAGTTCAAAAGCTGTGCTCCACGAAGGCATTTGAATTGTTGAATCCTATGGACCCATACATTAAGGTGCAAAAAAGATTTAAAATGAAACATGATGTACAATTTCCCTGTTTGAAAATATGATCTCATGAGTTTAATTTGAAGGCAGCGTGAGTTTTCCAGTGCAGTTAATTCCACATAAGGTCTCTAAAAGGATTTTAATGAAACATCCACATTAGTTCAGTAGCCTAATTTCCTACCACATTGCGATATTGTCTGGAAGAAACATAAACTAGATTTTTTAAGTGGTAAACTGATGCAACCGAATATTTCTACTTGGCCTAAAGCCAGCCTTTCCCAGCATTCCTCTGCATTCAGAGAAGAATGAGAGAGTACAGCTGTGGACTCACAAAGCTAATGCTGATGTTGACTCTGGCCTCAAGTCATTAAACACTGATTAAGAGCTGCTATGCTTCAGGAAAGTGATCGCTCAGACGATAATATTGTCAGTTGACTCGTTTGTATCGGCACACTCAGTGTTGTGGCTGATGTTGAGCCGCTCATCACGTGACGTGTGTCCGTTAAGGCTGCAAAGGTCGAGGTGCTGAAGAAAAACAAAGGAGTGCACAAAGGAGCCTTTCTCTTAGTAAAGCAGCCTTACACAGTGCAGGTTCATTAAGTCTGTTTCAAATTCTGTGAGCGAAGCAGCGAATTGCATTTTTGTAATGTTGCCTTGGCGAGTGCAGAATAGACTTAAAAACGGCCATCTTCCTTTCAACAGCTGTAAATTACTGTTAGCGAAATAAAGGCGATGGGGAGCTGGCTAATATAAAATTCTAGTTCAGCACTATCTAGCCTTCAGTATGTTTTAGATTTTAAACAAATTAAATTGTGATATTCTGGGTAATGATTGGACATTGTAAATCAGATTTATTAGATGAGACTTTGAGAAATAGACTCAAGTGGAAGTCTCTACTGTGAGACTCGAGACCTTAAAGTAACAATAATAAAGCCTCTTTAGCAGGTTAAGTCTCTGATCAAGGTACAACAAATGTAAGATGGCACAAAACAAGCTGCTTTATTAGTCTGTTACTTTGAAGGATTTGGTCCACCTTAAAAAACACTAAAGATAACCCTGAATTTTAAAAGAAAGTATCAAATATCATCTCACTTACACTAGCCATTGAAAGACCTGAAAGACTTGCACTTTCTTGTCTTGTTTTATGACTTCAAACCTCTTCTGAAGGACTAAAGCCATGGCTCTTAGTTCAAGAATAATAGTAACATTTCAAAGTAAAGTGGACAACTGTGCCCGGGCCGTGCTGCGGTCAAACAGCTTCCTGACTAACTGCTCAGGTGATGGTGGTGTGGATGCTGGCAGGATTACACAGCATGATGGCTGTGGTCATAAAATGGAGTGCTTTTTAGAGGCATTTGGCAGTGTTTCATAAAAGACGCTTTCTTCAGCAGTAATAAATCTGACGTGTGTGTGTGTTCCCAGCCGGTGACAGATGCAGAGAAGCACTCTGCCTCCACAGCGGTGCACCCGGCCTGGTCAGGAGACGAGGTGAAGAGGCCAGACGGCGGGTCGGACAGCGGGGTCAGGATGGAGCCGGGCTCCAAGTGGAGCCGCCGGAACCCCTCCGACATCTCAGACGAGTCGGACAAGGGCAGCTCGGGGAGGAAGACCCCCTCTGTGTCCCACACAGGCTCCTGGAGGAGAGGCATGAGCACTCAGGTGGGGGTGACGTCCCCCCGGACTAAAAGCAACTGTAGCACAGGCTCCACAAGCTCGGGTGGCCTCAAGACCCACAGTTCAGGTAACACAGACATCCATTATAGTATATATCAATAGAAATGAATAAATTATAGAATAGAGTAAAACCATTTAAACTTTCAATTTACTTTAGGTGTCTTAGAGTTGTCTCAGAGTGGGTGTGAAATCAAGAAGTAGCACCCACACGCCCCTCTAATGTCTCGTTCTGTTTGTCCTGTAGCAAAGACAGATGACGTGAAGGTGTCAGAAAAGGGTCGCCTCTCTCCTCGTCCCAATGGCCTACACCGCTCGCCCTCAGACGCAGGGCGCAGCAGCGGCGACGAGGCAAAGAAACAATCCATCCCCACTAGCCGCACGTCCACGTCAAACGCCCTCACACACACTGTTTCAGACCCCCACTCCCACACGCATGCCCACACCTCGCGCACCCCTACCAGCACCTTCGGCTTCAAGAAGCAGGGCCACGGGATGGTAACCATCGTTACTGCCAGCGGCGCCACCATCACAAGTGGCTCGGCTACCCTTGGGAAGATGCCCAAATCTGGAGCACGCTCACTCGCAGGAGGGTTGAAGGTCGGTGGGCACGATGGCGGGTCTGTGTTGGGTCACCACGACGACGGTTTCCTCCCCATGAGTGCCCGCTCTACACTTCAGTACCGCAGCCTGCCGAGACCCAGCCGCTCTGGAGCCACAGCGCGCAACGGAAACCGCTCCTCCACCAGCAGCATTGAGGCCGCCGTGCTGTCAGTTACGACTCATGGGAAAAACTCAATGGGCCTGACAAAGGCCAACGGCACAGGAGGCCTGCTGGCCAATCAGACGGACCGGGAGAAGGGCGTGTCGGAGATTGACAACCTGAGGAGCGGAGTCGTGATGCAGAGTGGAGGAGCAGCGACTGTTCCTCTGACAGGAAGACAGCAGGTTTCCTCACCTACACTGCGCAGGTGAGCATAACAGAACATCATTGGTATTGTCAGTGACCCCGCAGACATAATGACGACTGACTGATGAGCCATAATGAGTGGGTTATTCTCTTGTATCAGCTTGAATGCACCTTCATACAGCACACGCTCAAACACACAAAGAGAAGACCAATAAAATAAGTAATAATGCAGTCACAGTAGATGATAAACAGGGGTGAGTAAGAATTACACGTGTGGGCCTGTTTCACACACACACAAACACACACACACAGGCTCATCGAGGTAAAATCAGGCCATTGTGAAAGGCTTTGAGCTGTGCTGATCTGCTGCCAAGCCTCAGCCTTGGTGGTGCAGGGGGGAGGGTGGAGAAGGGAGGGTGTGGTGCTGGGTAATGGGAGCTGAGTCTTACCTCAGCGCTCTGCCCTCATTAATGTGAGGGAGTGATAACTTTTCAAAGAGGCTGTGTGCTGACATTATCGCCCACCGCGGCTCCAGTCATCGCAGCCTGCCATTTAACTCTAACCCAGGATTAGCGGAGAACCAGGAGAGAGTTGTGTGTGTGTGTGTGTGTGACATGTGTTTTTGTCCTGTGAGCTTCAGGTCCTTAAGGATGGAAATCAACCAGCCTGCTTCTTTGATCCAGAACAGCCATGAATAATTATGTTAAATGTGTTGTTTAATTTGCTGTTAATATTCATAATCCCCTGGAGGACAAATCCTGATGATTTGTATTACCCCATGACCTTTCTACTTGCAGCAGCATCAGTTTTAAAATAACATGTACACAGGATAAAGGCTTCAAGCTACTTCAATACCTGCAAACTTAGTTATTTAAAAGCAATGAATAATAATTAAGTGTTAAAAGTTGTTATCATGTACAGAATGCTATGTGAGACATAGATGGAGAAACTAGTTAAACAACTTACTTCATAAGTTCATATTTTTTAAGGTCACTGAAAGCATCGTTCTCTATAAAAATTCCTCAAGTAATTGATAATTTGATTAGGAAATGAGATCATTTGCCTTATTTCTGTTCTTTTAGTAGTTTTCTAACGCTCCCTTATTTTCCACAGATTGTTTGGTGCGAAGCCCAGCAACAAGTCTCCGGTCACCACGACTGAAAACATGAAGAACTCCACTGTTATCTCCAACCCCCACGCCACCATGAACCACGTGGGCACAGTGCTGGAGTCCCCCGACGGAGGGCTGGGAGGTGTGGACAGCGAGACCAGCAGCCCCATGTTTGGAGGCAGACTGCATGGGATAGGGATGGGGACGCTGGGCAGCGAGCAGGTGAGTGAGAACATATCAACAAATACCGTTCTGTCTGTCAACTCACTCTGTGAATCGTGAGAGTCTAAATAAGAAAATCATCCATGAGCTCTGGAGGATTACTGGCTGTGCTATTAAAGCTTCAGATTGCACAATATGGAAAAGGTATAAAGGTGTACTTTCAATTCAAGTTTTATAAGTCTTTTAAGCCAAGTATGGCTCCTTTTAAAACAACTGAAGTAGCCTTGTTTATCTCTAACACTGAGTCACAGGGCCAGCTACTTATTCATTAGTGACGCTGCTATTTTCAGGCGTATACAGATTTTCCAACTGCCCCCCATCCATTACTAACCATAAGCAGAGGGAAAGCCCTTTTTCTTTTTAGTTTATTTTAGAGCTGCTTTTGAGTAATTTGTAGCCATGCTAGTGGTCCACCACTTTTTCAGGACTGCAATATCTCAACAGCTATTGGAGGCATTGCCATGAAAGTTTGTAAATATATCATATCGTTCTCGTGAAGGTTTGTAATGACTTGATTCATTCTTTAAACTTGTTATAGTCAATTATTTCAAACATAAAGATACTGAATATGCATCCCCCGTTCAGGCTGGATAGAGAGTTAACAGTTAGTTTCAGCTCATCGTTTAGCTGTCGCCTCACAGCTTTACTTTTGTTGCTCCCCTCACTAATCCCTGTTTGGTGCCTCTGCTGTTTCAACCAAAAAAGCTCTAAAAAGACAGCAGGACAGTTAGAGTACCTAAGATATATTTCAGTACCTGCTCTGCATTAAAGTTGTATTAACTTTAAGCTAATTTCTACTTCCTTTAATGCTTTTCTTCCGACTGTATGACTTTAAACTTAAACCAAACTTAAATACTTTGTGTTGAGTGATAATTAGCTAAATAACACACTTAGCTAATATCATAAACATGGTAAACATAACCTGCTAAACAGCTGAATGATAGCTTTTAATGTTAGCATTTAGCTCGAAGAACCACTGTGCCTAATAGTCGCTAACTTTGGCAGGTATTATATATCACACAAGTTACAGTATGTGTTTTAAGAGCTAATGTCCCAAGTTAGCTATACGGTTTATGAGCAAACTGTCAAACTGGAAAGTTATGTGTGTTTTTATGATTAGACCACATGACTATACCTTTGAGCTTAGAGGTGATTTAGTTTTCACCTGACCAATAGCAAAAACCAACTGAATTCCTCCACCACTAATGTGTGTAGGTACTTGCTTCAATGACTGAAAGCTACATATTGCAGCAGAGCAGCAAAATATAAGCATGCTCAGTCATGAAGTCACCATCACCTTCTCACATGATTCAGAAATGTATCAGATCATGTCTCAGTCATTAAATGACTCACAACCTTTTAAGTACTAGTTATGTTTTTACAAACAGTATAGGTTCAAAAGTTTAAGTACTAAATAGGCCATCCAATAAAAACTTACCGGAGAACATTATTATAGATATTATTGACACATTTTTACAACACTATAATACACAGAAGGCCACTGATTTCTAAACACTTTAACATCCATTCTGCCTCTCCACAGGCCTCCAGCCCTGGCTCAGTTTACTCCTCCACCGGCCCCTCAAACAGCCTAACGTGGGGCACCACCTTCAGCAGCTCCTCCGCCCAGAGCAGGGAGAGCACGCTGGGGGGACACGGGGGGGCCAGCAGCATGGGATACCCCTCCGTCAGCAGCATGCACACCAGCAGCGAGTCTATCGACATGAGCCTGGGCAGCGCCAGCCACGGGACCCACAGGGAGGACACGCTGTCCGCGCTGGGCCGCACCAGCAGCGTCAAGACCGCCATGTCTGAGAGGTGAGGATACAAGAAAGGGGCATTTTGGGGTTATTCTTTTCTTTCCTTGTTTTCCTTTTCCTGGAAACAACATCAAATGTAAACTCTTTCATCTGATCTTCAGTGTAACATCTTGTTTTTGTCAAATACCACATTTGAGGTTGTTTCAAAATGTCCTACATACACTCTCTTAGCAACATTAGCCACTATAAGTTAGCCAGACCCAGTAAGATTGTGACAGTAAATCATGTTGGTTTGTTTAACTGAGCAAAGCTGCCTTTTCTTGCGTTCAACTTTAAATAATGTAAAACATTGAATGCTTAATTTCTTTCTCAAAGGTTAAATAGTGTTTCTCGTATTTCATTGCATTTCAGAGTTCATGGCTTAATTGAACTCGCAGGATAAAAAAATGGTTTTCAATCCTGCTAAACTGTTTTTAATATGTAATACTTTATTTAAAAAAGAAATAGTTGGTCATCAGCTATCATGTTGGATGCATCTGTACAAATGATAATCCAGTACAAATATTTACTCTATGTATAATGTAACGCTATGAAAATGGTCAATCTGCATAATGAGTTATTTCACTTTTCATACTTATTGAATGCACAACCTTTACTTGTAAAGGACTTTTTTAAATTAATACTGTCACTGAAGGATCTAAACAAGTCTATAGTCGGTGACCATGTTAAAATCCTGCCCAGTTCAGACATGAAGTCCCTTTTAAAGAATCCAGAATGGAGATGATGAACAAAGCATCCGTCGTGGCGAGGTGTCTCTTCTTGTTAGCCGTTCTGTCCGCGCTCGAGCTGAGAAACAAAATCCCGTGGCGTCCTCAGACGATTACACAGTAATTATGGTCATTGTAGCAGATTCCATCCTGACAGGTTGCCTGTGTAATGTGACAGGAATGCCCTCAGAGGAAAGTTAATAGCATCTGCAGTTTAAGCTTTGAGGCTATGGCTTCACCCTGCTCTCTGAGTTTTCTTATTAGCTTCATTGGTGAAGAGTCTCGCAGTTGACTTCTGTTCTGAAGAAATTCTGCATCTACTTTATTCTCTAAAACTCTCTTTCTCTGTGTCTGTTGTGCGTTTTCCTCCCTGTCTTCCATCAGTCCCCTGTCCTCCCCGTCTGCTAGCCCTTTATTCAGCCGAAACACGCTCCCTCGGAGGCAGGACAGGTAAATGTACCTGTGTGCAGTGTTAGGCTTCTGGTGAGACAGCTGTGGAGGTTCCTACTAAACCACCACCTGCTGCCACACAGAGAGCATCCCACAGAAGCTCAGAGAGACGCTGTGTGTGGTAGCTGCTTGTGTTTTATGTGTATTCTTTCTTTTATGCTCTGTGTGGTAGTTTGTGGTTATTTTTAGGACCTCTAGCTCCTGTATGAATGGGGATTAATGACACATTAAATGTGAGGTTGTTTGTGTGGATGCTGGCAGCTTCGCTGTTTTTGTTTAGTGCTCCGTGTTCACATACTGCCACCTTGTGGTAGCGTTTGTATGAGCAGTTTTAACCAATAGCATGAGAATAGGATGTTTATTATTGATTTTACACGGCAAAAATCTCAGTCTTAAGGAATGTCTTATTTTTAGAAAAAGCATATAAAAATATTTTTTAAAAATCCAAATGTAACTGTTTCAGAATTGTCTGTGCTAACTTCTCTTTATGTCAGTTTATCCATCTTCCTTAGTATGCTTTATTTCAAGAATTGGCAAGGTTGAAATTTGTTTGCACTGTACATGTTGGGATGTACTAATGTGGATAAGAAAGATTTCCGAAAATATATTACTTGAGTTAGTTATTGAGAGATACATCCACATGTTTCCTTGTCTCCTTTGCATTCCTCCTCTGAAGTGTTTCTCTCCCACAGCGGGACACACTGTGGTAGAAACACTCTGCCTAAGAAAGGACTCAGGTACTGACCTCACTTCCCGCTGGAAATGTTGTGATGTCACACACTGGTTCACCAAATTGTCTTCTGTCTTAAGATTGTATTTTTCTGTGTATACATTCACTCTTCTGGGATTGTGCTCATGCTTTAAAAAAATGCTTTTGATGTTTTTGTTTGGCACTTGGCACATGTGTTGTTGTGTTGTGCTTCTGTGACGAGGCATGTCACTTTGTGGTGGTACAGAGCTGTCACTGTGTTGTGTTGTAGCGGGCCTGATTTGGTGGCTCAAATATTTCTTTGGCTTCCTTTCTGCTTTTTTCCCCAGTTTGTGTTGCTCACAAATGAGAATCAATCAATGTTCCCACTGTTGTAATTCCTTGTTTCGGTGTCCTGATTCATCATGTTAGATCCCGGCTACTAATCAGTCTATTTAAGAGAAGAAAATCCACCTCACTGATTGCAAAAAGACTGACAAATCTGAATCATCTTGTCCTGTCAGAACGCAAAGATCCACCCTGCACTTGTTCTGTGTTGTGTCCTCGCTTCCACTTCAACCTTGTCTTTAACTTCCTGTAGGTATGGCCCATCCACGCAGCTGCGAAGCCACGAGGAGGCCCGTGATTGGCTGCGCTCCCACTCCACCAGCGGGCTGCAGGAATCAGTCGGCAACTCCCCGTTCTCCCCCAGCTCCAGCCTCACCTCCCCCTCCGGCACTCGCTTCAACTTCGGACAGCTCGGTACGCCACACACACTCCATCCAAACCCAGCACTCCTTGTGTTTTCACTTCGATCACACACAGATAATTTCTTCTCCGTTAGCAGAGAAAATGTAAAGCTTGGAAACAATTTCTAAACTCAGTGTTTATTCAAACTGCATTGCCATCAAGAGGTTGATAATTAGCAGGTGGCATTTTTTTACGGCTTGGCTTATCATTATATGGAATATTATCAGTAGATCCACAGAAAATTGATCGATTAATGACATAAAACATTAATAAAGCAAACATTCTCTTGATTTAGCATCTTTAAATGTGAGGTTTTTTGTTTTCTTCTGTTTCATACTGCCCTAAACTGAATATCTTTTGGCTTTGGTCAGACAAAATCAGGAGTTTCCAAGGTGTTACCTTGGAATATTGGAAATTCCGTTTTTCACAGTTTTCTGACATTTTATAGAATAATCAACAAGTAAAATGTGTAAAATATTGAAAAAATAAACATGTAAATAATTTCACATTTAATTCTCACAGCATCCAGCCCCACCTCAGCAGCTCAGATCAACCTCGCCAGTCTGCGCAACAACAGCCTGACCAATCATGAAGTCTCCTTTGACCCCAGCAGCGATAACCGCCTGAGGAACTCGTGCATGTCTCTTGACGAGAAGACGCGCACCATGAGCAGATCGGGCTCCTTCAGGGACGGCTTTGAGGAAGGTAAGAGGAGACAAGCAAAGGATGGATGAATATAAGGACTCTGAGTCCTGGGCCTGGCCCTCAGATTCTTGATGTAAATCGTGATTACAGTGTAATTATTTACCAATACCTGCATACCCCTGTCTCTCTATGACTCTGAAGCCTCCCCTGCTTTATTCCACATCCCTGTGCCAAAATAATACTTATTCCATTTGTTTGGAGAACATTAGGACGGATTACAACCGCTCCTAGTCCCTTTAGAAATCCATAATCAGCTTTGCTGCTGCTTTGTTTTAGTAAGCTTGGTTATTGCGAAAAGTACCCTGCCGTGGTTTTCCCACAAGCAGGCAGACTCCTCGCTCAGGAGAGGGTGCTCCGCTGCCGTCTGCTCAATCCTCAGGCCTATAGAAACACAGCACTGTTGCACACTATGATTAGGTGGGTGGGGGGTAAGTTGTATTATTGTTTACAACAACATATTCTCAATAGAAGAATACAGCCTGACACCCTAAATAATGTTAAACAGCTGAAGTTGCAAGACTTGTATTTAAATAAAATGCAATATCCACAATAAATGACAATGTATACAATTAACACCAAGTCATTTTGCACTTCAGGATCTGAACTCAGATATGAAGTGCGTTATAAATTAAACCCATTATTATTATTATTACAAGACTTTCTTTACAATTATTGGGAAAAAAATCATGATAACACAACTGTGTGATAAACAGGTCAATCAAAAAAGTGTACTTTCTTTCAAGGTTGTCAATAGATTATTTTTGGGAAATGTAGTTAATACATAAGTGCAGTTAAACATACAGAGACTAACAGTATAAAGATCCGAAGACGTATCGTGTCCTGCAGATTTAAGGGATATGAATAAAAACTGAGGGAAGAGCAACATTACAGACGGTCAAAGAGTTGAAGAGCAAATCCTGTGACACCGAAACTGGTTTTATAAATGTGCCTCAGGAGATCAGCTGTTTGCATGTTTTTTAAGAACATGGTAAATCCAGGGACCAACTTAAAAGCTCCCAGAATAATATTTAAATGTTTCTATATTCTCTGCATAAACTGTGGTTGACAACAAGTTTAGTTATAACCAAGAAAGACATTCAACATAAATGATTCCTCACTGTTGGAAACACAATTGAGTTTGTATGTCTAGATGTTCCTTTAAATAAAGCATTACGTGTATGGAGGGTCACTGTTTTGTGTAATCATGTATATGGGCTGTCACTCATCTATTGTACTCATCTTTAAAAGACACGCCTGAGCCTCACCTGATATTGTGAAGCTTAGATAAAAGCACAGGTAGCAACACCTAATGTGTACATGCACAATAACACAGACACGCAGACGTATTATTACTGCGCCCCCTACAAGCATATCTAACTCTTTTTCCAGCTCCGTGACTCTGTGTTCCCTTTCAGAGGAGGAGATAATTACAGGGATCACAGTGAGAGAGATGTGATGACACACAACACAACTTTCTCTCTTTGTTTAATGTGTGTTGGTCTGCAGTTTGTGTGTATATGTGTATGTTTCTAAGAGGTAGAGTTACACAACCGTTGTTAGATTGACAGGACAGAAGTCACATCATCCACCAACACTTTGTCAGGCCTGTCACTTCATCCCTCCGCCCGCACCCTAACCCACTCCCCTTTATATATGCTCACCTTCCCCTTTAGTCTTTAGAAACCATGTTTTACAATATTTACAGGAGATGTTCTTATCCCATAGAGATAGATAATCAAACTGAGAGGTATGGTGTTTGTATTTAGCTATAACTTTATGTTCCTATTTCCTTACTGTGGAACATTTGTGTGCAACAAATAGTAATATTTACATAATCGCAGATGAAAACCAAATCTATATATTTTTTTTTTCAATAATTCCTTTCAGCAAATCAATTATGTACAATTCTCATGTTGACTTTTATACTCCCTAGCGTCCCTTTCGCAGTGTAAAGTGAAAAAAGCACAGATTCTCAAAACTAACTCAACAAGTAAACATGTACCAACAATAAAATGTCAAACAGCACAACCTGGAAATCAGAACAATTTAGAGATCAAATGTTTGTCAGAAAAAAGCAAGAAACCCAAAACTAGGACATTTCCACAAATAATCCAACAAAACAAATTACCCTATAATTCCAAAAAGCACCAAAGCATGTTTGATGAAAACATGACTGGCAAACGTGTTTGTACCAGTTTGATGATAACATCTCACAAGATCCCAGAAAAACATTTTGCAATACAATACTATAATGAGTATTGTCCAAACTACCCAGGAAGAAATGTGAGTCACTTTAAAAAAACAGCATATTATTTTCTGAAATCTTTAGGATCCTTTTGTTGACAAAAACCTCTTGACATGTATTTGACCAACAATCTAAAACCCAATAACATTCAGTTTACTTTCATATATAACATAGAAGAGCAGCTATCCTCATGTCATAGAAACATGGCCAAGGAAATGCCATTGGAAAACAATTAAATAAGAAGAAACATTCATCCATTATCAGAATACCTTTCCTTTATTTTCTTTCAAAAGTCTCAAACAATCGTTGAGTAAAGTTCAAACCAGACAGAAGTGAACCTAAATAAATATTCTCCTTTTCATGTGGCTCCCAGCACACCTTGCTGTCTAGACCAACGTTCTGATAAAAGTGTGCAAACCAATGTGTGCCCCCCCTGTGAGGTGAATGAATGAATACATCGGCTGGGATCAGCCCGGACTCTCTGTGTGGTTGATGACATCACGCCGCTGCTGATCCTTTCTGATCTGCTCCCAGGCAGGAAACAGTGCTGCGTTGTGTCCCGGCCTCTGATGTGTGATTAGTGAATGAGTCATTAACAGAGTAATGCTCAGGCTGTCGTTAGCTGTGCCACAGTCCGACTGTAACGTGTGGGGCTTTTATCTTTATGAGCGCAGAGCTGCAGTCATTACGTTCAGAAAGGAGGCGGGAAGTGGGAACACTGAGAGGATATGTGTTGGCTGGGAAGGATTGGAGCGGAGTGGGTGGTTTGTGTCGGGGGGGTTGATGATAATCATGGTGCTGTTGTGTGTATGGATGTACTTTCTAATCCCCACTTTTGCTTGTGGTTTTTGTCTCTATAGTTCATGGATCATCCCTGTCTCTGGTCTCCAGCACTTCCTCCATTTACTCTACAGTGAGTACACAACAGGTCCATTTTAAGTTAATCAGACTTATGTGAATTATTTTTGAATCCTTGTGCAATGTATACCTTCAATACTGATCATGTTTAGAAGTTTTTATTTTAGATAACATTACTTTTTGCGTAGTGTTTGTCCCATAGTGAGGTCTGCTAAGTTTATTTTTCCACTTTAAATATCCCGCTCCGGAAGGGCACATACCATCTGACCACAAGATCTCCAGTTCAATTCCGAGCAAAATCTTTGCTTCATATCATGCCCTAGTTCTCAACATCTAACAATCTCCTTCTTTAGCAAAAACTGTCATTGTCAAGTAGCACTGAAAAAGGCAAAAAAGAGAGAAATACAAATAAACACAGATCTGTAAAATGATTGAACCGCCTTGTTTGAGAAAGCAAAGCAAAATCACATCGCTTCTGAGGTCTCCACAGTTCATGAAGATTCCAGTGCAACCTGTTTCTGCGTTTGCCTATGGAATTATGAAATATGAGTATTTGAGCTGGCAAGTAAGCTGTTACACATTTACACTCTAATCCATCCAGATATCTGACTCAAACACTTGGGACAGCCCACATGTACACACAGTAGCTAATCAGAGCCCGGTGTTAACAGCATAGTCCCCC